CTATGCCGATGTGAAAAACTTCATGGATCTTTGAAACCATTGGCGTTTTAGCACATCACAATAAATGTAATATGAAGAAATACGAAAACTTCATCAGCAAGAACATCATGGTGCTCGCGAAGTGATGACACAATGTGTGATTTTTGCTGAATTAAAATCACACCTTCATGGAAAACGTCAGTGAACCTACGATTCGTGAGATTTGTCATCGCGTTTTGTGACGAATACATTGCTTTAAACAATCCGGGAAACTGGAAAAGATTACCGTTTCTGAAGTTCTAAATTGAGACGTTTCTAGCATATGGCATCCAGTGAGTATAATTCGCACACCAGTCTAAAGGTACACATTTATCGATTGTCCGACACATGTTGACACATGTCTCATTCCTGAAAAGCGCCGCCCGCCCCATCGTATAATGGGCTGGCTACAGCTAAAAGGAATAGTCATTCACTGCAAATTTGCTTATTAGCAAACACCAACTAAGCTACTAGACAGGAACGTAAACGTCTCATCTACACATAATTTTGTAAACTGAACATCCTCACCCATCTTCCGGAACTCTCATTGATATTCATTGACTGCTACACAGTTACAAACGAACACTGCAAAGCAAATTTAGGAGTTTCACAATAAGCCTCAGCTTCGATTAGTCGCGGGATGGAGCTTCGACACGACCACAGACTACTCACGTGCCCCGTCAGTAGTGCACGCCCTTACTCAGGTAGAGTGAAACACAGCTGCGCTTGAAAAACGATGGGGCACCCGACGTTGCCCATGGTTAAGATAACCGAGAAGAATGCTGGGCAATAGAAGTTCATGCTATGACCGAGAGCCACCCGGTACAGTGTAGTCGAGCAACCATTCATTATCGCGACCTGTCACGACGCACAAAACGTCATTGTGCAACGGCTATGAATTCGCTGTCCGCTTGAGTCAGCCGAAGAGTAGTTAGAGTGAGGAAGGGAAAGGAGGCTAATTTATGACGAAAATTTATGTTGTCCTTAAAAAACCGGAATAAATTCGCGAAGATATTTTCCATTTTAGACAAAAACCTGACACCGTATGGTTAACCCTCGTGATACTAATACAAACTTTCATGGTTCTATTCATTTTCTATAATAAATGCACCAAAAAATGAACATCATATTAGCCTAATGGAAATTTTGCTCTGAGCCGACTGATTGGTATTTCACTCACAACCGTCAACCAGATAAAAGGGAGAACTCCGATCCATGACTTGAGCAGAGCACACATTGAAAAGAAATATTGAAAGTAAATTTTAAAATCCTTCCGGTTCAACTTGATTCCGATTGAATCACAATCGCTACGGTTCCATCGAGTCTTCTATGGTTCGCAGTGAGACTCATCAGCGAGATACATCGTGATATTCTTTGCCAAATGAATCGAAAAGACGGGCGATCCCGACCGGACCTTATTACTTGGGTGTATGATTACCATACCAAATACAATAACCAGTTCCCGATAAGCTTGTGGCTGGAAAAAATAAACGGCCTTTGCCCAAATATGTCTGTGAGCTTATTGCTACCCGGTTTGAAAAAAAGAATTCTAGAATAAGTTGAGAGAAATGAGAGAATACCAAATATCTCGTTCTTCTCGGAGCTCATCATGAAAGCACAGCTATCCAGTTACCATCAATTTCAGCACCAAATTGTATGCAGCTCGCAAATTTCAACCATATACAACTTACATCGGTGCTGTCCAGACTTTTGTTGGGTCTCCAGCTGAACCTTCTACCAAAGGAATGACTATCAATGACCACGCTACATCGCTTTCTTTCTTTATAAAGCTAGAAATGAACTCTGTGTGATCATATAGATTCAACCAGTTGGTCGTATCGTTTAGGAAAACCAAGTGTGTGAGATGTCACAAGATGTCACAAGACGCCTTGGTCGCATGTCAAATGTTAGCCGATTCATTCAAAAATTTTACAATTTGGTCAAGACACATATGTGCCCCACGGTTAACAGTAACTCATGGATTCTAACATCACTTTCGACCTATGAGGTGCTTGGGTCTATAGTACTTTAGTGGATGCATCCCGGGGATGTTAAACAATACCTCTGAAGAAACTACACGTGTGCTACTTCAAATCGAAGTAAGTGAAAATATGTTTGCTGTACAAAGGCTTTCTAAGCTGCCGAAAAATGCGAAATCACTCACACAACAGGTTGTCATATACTAGGTGAGCGAGTGTGTCCAGTAAGAAGAGGTCACCTGTGGAGTGTATTTACTACCCTGCGGATTGTGAACTGGTAATTTTGTCAAATTAATTAAGTCTAACGATAAATATAAAATGCATTTTGTTGTAGTCCTGCCTGTCCCAATTATTCGTTGTTCACGCCCCATACTGCACTCACTCGACGTGTTTCACTCAGATCTAACCGATATGTGATACACGCCCGTGACCTCGCTGTACCTCAGCGAAGCCCATTTTGCTCGAGTAACGCAAACACCAAGACAACACAAGGCAAGCAAACGTTCGCATCCAGGTCAAGGTTCCGAAACCTGTTACCAGGTAGCATTCCTTCATCAGGTCATTCGCGTGCTGACAACCTTTCAGTGACTGGGCTAGACGGCTTGAATCTCCATCCTGCAAGATTTTAGATGAAAAGAACCTGATCCCAGAAAAGCGGAGCAAATTAGCCAATCCCTGTTGAATTTACTGAAATAAGAAATTCTTCATGATTTAACGTCCTACCCCTCGTGTATGCGTTCGAACAAGGACGCTTTTTTCCCAGATTTTTCTCAGCCGATTCAACTTGCAAGATTCCTAACAACCGGTAACCTAGTTGGTCTCCATTCCCAATATTCGGATCCAAGACAAAATGTTGTAGCTGACTTGAAACTGCGAAAGAGTAAAATTTTGTGCTGATTCTGATTCATTCACCTCATACGTTGCACCACACTCCACAATTTCTGTTCACCATGCATATTCAGCTCAAGCAAAGAAATGCACTGATTGGGATTGATTGTTTGATAGCGCTCGCCAACACAAATGAATCGTTGATTACTTAGCCAGTATTTACATGAACAAGCTTGAAATATCTAGGACTTTTGCGCGGTCACGCTCGTTGGGCATAAATACACAACCTCGAGATCAGCACAGGGTTTACGTGGGTATTTGCATTAGTTCAACTCCAGAGCAACTAAAAATATACAACGATCGAATGAGAAAATTCAAGTTTTTATCCAGGTAATCATCAACTAGTGCACCATAATGCCAAAAAATGAAGACATAAGCCCAAATTACACTGTGATACACAGAGAAATCTCTGTACTAGGTCAGGTTGTGGTGCATCCTCTGCATGAACACCATAGCGCCAGCGATGCAAAGCAGCTACTACTGCCAGGGATGGCAGTAGCTCAGTGCATTTGTAAAAATAATTTCTGCCTTGGGTGACGTCGCACTCACTCTTATTGTCATGTAAGATGGTTGGGGTAGGCTTAGTTCACAGTATGACTAACTGATGTGTCAGGATCTTTTAAACCTATACTTTCAATTCCTTCATGAACAGAACTGTTTGATGATGATGAAACCATTGATTGATACAGTCGATTTCCACATTCAGGTGTACTTTCTTGAAAACCCAGGTTTGTGAAGATCCATTGCATTCCATAGGTGTTGGAGTTTCGACCGCGATTATAGTTAAATGCAACTTCTGAATTGGCGGGGGGACTTCCAAAGTGTGTGCTTGTATCTACCACTTCAGCCCGAACTATTTGATACGTTACTGCTTCTATAGATTTTGCGTATTACCACGTATTGTCATTTATACATGAACAGTACCAATCCCGAACCAAATGGTGATTCTATTACCACGATCCAGCGATTCAGGCAGGTGGTTTCCAAATTTTCGTTTTCCCCGGGTACTTTGCCATCATTTATGAGGAGGTATCAAACTCTAGAAAACACAACCTCAATTTGCCAATACACTGTACATAGGCTTTTGAAAAATGCTTCATCGACGTTTCGGTATGCAAGGTCCTCGAGTTTTGATCAGCCCGATTTCTAACTCGAACCAAAGATTATACAAAATGCACTCATTTGAGAACTAACTTGATGTCAACGGGAAGCCTAAGGAAATCCCTCTTTGTTCACAGTCTTCCAAACAAAGTATGTCTCATGTGCCAGTTGGCACGACTCTTGGTCTATCAAGCCATGTTTTCTTAATATAAAGCACTCATCATAAAATTGCTCGCGAACGATTTCCTGTGGAGCTTTCAGTAAGATTTCTATAACGTTTCGCAGCAGCTTGATTTTCTCACAACTGCTTCATAGTTGCTTTCCGCACGGTCAGCTTTGACGCTCAGGTTGCCGTCTTACTGCGAGTAATCGTGCAACGAGACGGTCTGGGGCCATGCTCAGCGACAGAATTTGGGAGGCAGTAAGGCGATTCCCCCAGGCGACCAGCATGTCCATATTTATAGAAACAGCCATGCTTTTCTCCCATGAGGAAGGACGCACCAGAAAAGATCGTCCCCAAAAAGCGCAAACTCTGATCGCCCAACGTTTGACCCCCACCGCCGGCGCATCATTCAATACGGTGGAAATACTATTAAAACCAAAGTGTCCGGTTCTATCCAAAAGGCACTTACTGTGTGCACCCGCACCTAGAATGGGAGAGTAATGCCTTATTCCCTGCGCACTCAGGGTAGACCAAACCACCGAGCGAGTCAGAGTATTTTTTGATAGAGTCGGATCAGGGTCTCCGAAGAAAACCCTACTGTTCACCACCTCGTGGGTCAAATATTTCAATCAGAGGCTAGGGGTAGAGCTTCCGGGCGAAAAACCCTACATCCTCCCACTACCTTGTGGACCAAACTTTAGAGTCAAACGCTCAAGGTGGGATACCCCAGCCAAACCCCCTTCCTCAGCCTGGGCGAGGTATTATTTCCCCGGGCTAGTCGGTGTGCATCAATGACCCACCCTAATCCCTTCCCATCATACAAGCAAACTCGGCTTGGCAAATATATTTACCCGCCAAACTGTTATCTTGCTCGTTCGCTGCGTCTGTTGGCCGGATATCTTCTTCACGCACGTGTTCCAAAAAGTGGAGTGACAATTTTTTTCTATGCATATCATGAAACTACAACAAAGTCAAAGATTTTGCTAATGTGCGAACCACCAGTTTCAACCCTGTTTGACCGAAACGGTCAAATGAATTTGCAGTGGTCGCACGCTCTTCAGGAGATTGCTGTTCTTAAACATTTATATGGGTCGGCTATGTGATGAACGAAGATTCATACCTACAGCAATGGCCTTTTGGTTCTCCTCAAAACTGACTGGATTCACATAGTATTTCCAGTTGTCATGCGGCTGGACTATATCCATGTATATAAACGGGAACACTAGGAAGAGAAGAGACCTTAGATCAGGACTGGCTCCAAAAAATGCATCGTATTTCAAAAGTATACGTTCTTTCGGAGCTCATGAACATGGCTCACATTGACTAAAGGCTACCTCATGGTTAGTTGACGAAAAACTACGACTGATTGAGTGTGAGTGCATCACCTGACTGGCTGGCTAAACAAGTGTTATTTATTCTAATGTTGTGTGTTGGACAAAAATGTGTGTTCTTTTGAATTGTCTAACCGGTATCCGATGTTTGCCACACTCTAGTAATACAGGCCAACATATTCTTCGAACTTCTTGTTGCCAGCTTTCCACAAGTCTCCAGGAACCCGTTCGACTTCCTGTTTTATTGAAATTTTATTTCAGGACATTTCACTTCCGTTCTCACAGTCTCTTCCGAAACTGCTTTCCTGGTTGCAGCAAAACTTGTTTGCCATCACCCGGCTATGCTGGTTTCATTGTGCCCACCCTCCCTGCGTAATGTACTCGATCAGGACATTCAAAAAGACCAGAAAATCTCTCTGCTTTGTCGAAAATATAAGCTACGTCCCGTTGGAAGATATTCTTTAGCTGTCATGGGATCGGGTTTTGTTCACTGCTACAAGAGCACTGTCCGTATACACTGTCATCATCATCATCGTCATCATCAACAGCATGACATCATTGTTCAACACCAATGCTTCACTGCCGTACAAACATGACTTATTTGAAAGCCTTATTGTAAAGAAAAGAAGAAAGGTGGATGGGGAAGGGACTTAGTGCTAGCTTACCACAATCATTCTGAGGTGCCTACACCTCCAGACATTCACTCAGGCAA